TAGAAAATAAGAAATCAGGGCCGGGCGCGGTGGCTCACGCCTGTAATCCTAGCTCTCTGGGAGGCCGAGGCAGGCGGATTGTTTGAGCTCAGGAGTTCGAAACCAGCCTGAGCAAGAGCGAGACCCCGTCTCTACTAAAAATAGAAATAAATTAATTGGACAACTAAAAATACATAGAAAAAAATTAGCCGGGCACAGTGGCGCATGCCTTTAGTCTCAGCTACTCGAGAGGCTGAGGCAGGAGGATCGCTTGAGCCCAGGAGTTTGAGGTTGCTGTGAGCTAGGCTGACGCCACGGCACTCTAGCCCGGGCAACACAGTGAGACTCTGTCTCAAAAAAATAAATAAATAAATAAGAAATCCAAACCCCTGGAGTAGGGGCCGGTGTAAACACAAGCTGCGATCTTGGGTTTCCTCACCCTGCGGGTGAGTCAGCCCCCAGGTGGGCGGTAGTGGGCTGCAGTCTGCCCAGGGGCAGCCAGATGTGCCCCATCGGTGACCTCCTCATCGCCAAAGGGCTGGAGCCGGTGCCTTGGAGCCTGGATGGGAGGTGTCCTTCCCCAAAGAATGTTAGAGGAAGGACTCGCTGCTGTGCCCCAGAGTCACATCCAAAGCACTGGGGAATCATCTATTCCCCAAGGGCTGGCAGGAAAAGGGCCTCCAGGACATAACCACTGGGCCATTGCTCCAAGCTTTGAATTTGGGGAGAAAGGTAGGCAGTACCCAGTTGGCAGCTGGCACCTTCAGCTAAAAAGCAGTTGGCACCAGATTACGAACAGTGATTAGGGGACATGAGGCCATTCTCTGGAAAATTCCAAGGCGGCTCTTTTGTGATAAGCCCACTTGACAACATCTCACCCCCCTGAGATCTATTATTAAATATTATCTGTGCTCTCCGGTCTGCCGACCAAGCTGCCGTCTGGCTCACTGTCTGGGACCCCTGCCCAGGCAGCAGAGGGGAGCAGAAAGAAAAGTGGGGTGAGCAGGGATAAATAAGGGGTGGCATAGCCATAAGACGGGGCGTAAGCAGCCATTTAAAATCATGCTTTTGGTGACTACTTGATGACATAAAGAAAAGCTTATGCGATCATTTTAATTATCACACACATCCGGTCAAACGACGGGAGGAAACACGCCAACACGTTAACCACAGCTAACTCTGAGTGCTGCGATTAACAGTGATGCTTCTTTTTCATGCAGCTCTTTATTTTCTGATCTATTTTATAACAACTGTACCTCTCTCACCTAAAAATACACGTACAGTAAAGGTCACGTCTAAATGAATGTGACCTTAGGAGACAGACCTGGTTTACGCACCAGCTCCACGGCGCCCTGAGTGGTGAGCCTAAATTTCCCCACCTGTAAACGGATGGGCAATTCCCTGGGGTGAAGAGGCTTAAAGGAGATCATCACCCAAAGTTCCTATTTCATGGGGTTGGCTGTTCTTCACGTGGGAGGTGCTGTCCTCCGAATGGGAGGCCCGGCCCGGCACCGTGGGGCCCGGTGGGGACAGATTCGACTCCGACTCCAGTTCCTCTCTGCTGAGGCTGGAAGCTGGAGGGAAGGGCTGCATTTGAAGCCTCTTGCTGAGTGAAGTCAAAAGTTGTGAAACTCCTGGGCTGCTTGCTTCGTGGTTAGTCCCCTCTGAGCAGGAAGAGGGCCCTCGGGGCAGGAAGATGAGGCCGTGTGCATGCGCTCAGCCTGCTTCTCCCGCTCACTCCCCTCTTCCCTCCGCATCATCTCTGACTCTCAGAATAGAAGTGTTCTCTGCACTTCCTAGGCAATCCAGGCTTTTCTCTTTTAATAACAGCTTTATTGAGATATAATTCATACGCCATACAATTCACCCATGTGAAGTGTAAAATCCAATGATTTTTAGTATAAAGTTGTGCAACCGTCACTATCAATTTCAGAAAATCTTCATCACCCCAAAAGAAACTCCTTACCTGTTAGCAGTCACTCCTCATCCCCTCCTCACCAGGCTAGCCAGTCCCTAATCGACTTTCTGCCTCTATAGATTGGCCTGTTCTGGACATTTCACCTATAAATGGAGTCATGCTACATACGGTCTCTCATGACTGGCTTCTTTCACTTACATGTTTTCAAGGTTCATCAGTGTTGTAGCATGGATCAGTACTTTACTTCTTTTTATTGCCAAATAATACCCATCGTATGATACATTTTATTTACCCATTCACCAACCGATGGACATTAGGCATCTTTTTCGGCTATAACATATTATCTGTAATGCTAGCTGTGATCTGTTCAGTACCTACCATGTGCCAGGCTCTTGACCTAATTTCTAACCCTTACAACAGCCCAGAGAGCCATGTCTGTTTCTTGCATCACACTGATAAGGAAACTGAGATGCAGAGGAGTGGCCCATCCAAGGCCACACCAGTGACACAGCTGGGATTAAAAAGGATCCTCCCACTGCACCACATTGCACCCCCACCCCCACGGGTTCTGTGTCCTTCCAACTGACTCTGAAGCCAGAACGAGAATCCACTCATCCAATGATCGTTCATTCAAAAGCCTTAGCTGGCACCAAGTGGATGGCAAGCACACATTAATCAGAGCCAGGGGACACCAGACTCCGCCTCCTAGAGTTCACTGCCCAGGTAAGGTCACCAGGAAGGTGACCGACCAAATGCCAGGGCCTCAGACATGCTGGAGAGCACAGGGAATGGTTTTTAGAGGGATTTTGAGCAGGATCCAGCAGACCCGGTGGATTTCCCCGAGATGGGACACAGTGAGCCACCCCTGCAGAGGAACTGGTGTGCACATGGACCCAGAGGCCAGGACATTTGGTCCATGGGGATGGGGTCTGCCCTGTTGGTGGGAGGTGACGGAGGTGGGGATCACACTGCTGAGAGCCTTGAATGCCAGGCTGGAGTCTGGGTTTTGTCCTGTGGGCAGAGGGGAGCCATTGAAAGTTTTTGAGCAGGGGAACAAGATCCAACCCATCCATTTCAACTCTGGCGTCCGTCTTCAGACACAGGTTCCTAGGCCCCTGGGAGAAGGAAGCGCTGTGCCTCAGACCCTCGTGCACCTGCACATCCCCAGCCTGACACGTTACAGGTGCTCAAAAGACATTTGTTGAATGTCTGGACAGGTGAATGAACGAATGACCAATCTGCGCGACAGTCCCCTCCCTTCCCCACCCCCATCCATTCCTCGTCCCTCTTTCGGTTCGTTGGAATACAACAGCTGGCGTGCTCCAGATTCTCCTGTCTCGCCCACCCACCCTCTCTCCTTCCTCCCCTCTCCCTGCCATCCTCCTCCCCACCGCCATTGTTCAAGTGCTCTCACCACGTGCCAGGAGCAGCGATCACCTCACATTCTCACGATCGCCCCCAGGGGCAGAAATTAGTAACTGCACTTTGCAGATGGGGAAATGGTGACTCCAAGCAGTTAAGGGATTTGCCCAGCTGCCCAGGGGCAGAACTGAAACTCAAACGGTGACCTTCTGGTTCCGTCTAGTGCCTCCAGCTGGGGGGGTGTGTGGGGGTGGGGAGGAAGAGGAGGCAACGGAAAGGACTCCCTGGGAGGTAGTCTCTGAGCCCGCAACCCAGGACCAGGTGGTAGATCCTAGTCTGATGGCTCCCGCCCCAGCTCTGGGTGCAGCCAGATCCCTCCACCTCTTCCAGCACATTCATGGGGGGGAGGCGAGGGCGAGGTGGGGAAGGGGACAACCTCCGGACCTCAGAAACACACACACACACACCCCAGCCCCAAAGCCTAGAGAGGTAGAAACAGTAATTGTCTTAGACACAGAGGCTTTATTTTTCTATAACATCATTCCCCAGAGAATTTTTTATAAAATGCCCCATGTAAATAACTATTAAAGAGGAAAACATCCCCAAGATGGTTCATCAGAAATCCATCGGTCAAGCATGTCAGCTGGTTCCCAAGGCCCTTGGGGTAGCCTGACTCTGTCACTGTTCTTAACACCTTCTAGGACATGCTCCAGAAAGAACCTTCAACTCGAAACACTCTCATTTTACAGATGGGAAAATGATGCTCAGATCAGGAAAGGGCCAGGCCAAGGTCATCAGCATCTGTGGCAGAGCGGGGACCAGGGACCCGTGCCTCCCCGCCATCTGCTCCTCTTGCCCCCAAAGCTCGCTGCAGTTCTCTCACCAAGGCTGTGCCACTGAGGGAGAGCCGGGGCTGTGGCTGGTACCGCCACTAAATGCCGGGCGGTGTAGCTGAGGCCATGATGACCTCACTCTCCACCTGGGAATTTACCCGGCGGCGGATGACAGTCCAGGCACACACGGGCTCCAGGGCCAAACAGGCCTACGGAAGTAGGTGGCACCCCTCCTCCTATCACCTCTCCTGGGGCCAAGGTCTGCCAAGGCCACGTGCAGGGAGACACTCTGGCTTCCACGTGTCTTTGCTTTGGGTCTGTGTGACATCAATCCACTTGGCTACTGAGATTTTTCTCTTGCTGATTGGAAGTCCTGGCTGGCAGTTAAATTAAGGTTTTGGGGTTTTGTTTTTAAGAAAAAATCATGGCTACTTAATATAAGTAGCCTGGGCCGGGCACTGTGGCTCACGCCTGTAATCCTAGCACTCTGGGAGGCCGAGATGGGTGGATCATTTGAGGTCAGGAGTTCAAGACCAGCCTGAGCAAGAGCAAGACCTCATCTCTACTAAAAATAGAAAGAAAATTAGCTGGACGACTAAAGATACATATAGAAAAAATTAGCCGGGAATGGTGGCACATGCCTGTAGTCCCAGCTACTTGGGAGGCTGAGGCAGGATTCCTTGAGCCCAGGAGTTTGAGGTTGCTGTGAGCTAGGCTGACGCCACGGCACTCTAGCCCAAGCAACAAAGTGAGACTCTGTCTCAAAAAA